TTCACTTAACTTTATTGTGTTTATTCCTTGACTTTGGAGTTAAGGAACTCCAAAGAACAATGGGCAGCCCAAACCTGTCTTATTACAACATCATTACAAACTGAATTCTGTTACAGAATGTAAGAATAGAGGAAAGGCAGCACTGAAAAAATAGAAAGGTGTTTCCCTCTATAACTAAGATGAGGTTTAGATTTAAAATGTTGCCTGAAAGTGAGGTTGGGTTAGGAGGGGCTTGTTGTGCTTTTCTATTTTTTATGTGTTCTTGTAATCTGTAATGTCTGGGTGTGTGTGTATGCTTTTGGGGACTTGTTGGTGGGTGGAAAATGTATGTTTGGAAGCTAGGTGCACTCACCTGCTACTGTGACACACCAGAGAGCTCTTTAGAGCAGTGTGTGCCATGGAGCTACTCCTATAGCCACTCCTGCAACTGTCATGTTCCCACTGTTGAGAGGAGCGATGGATGACAGTGGTGGTAATGGGAGCAATGAAGGAAGGTTGACAACAGTGGTGTCAGCAGAAGATCACAACAGAGGTAGAAGCTGGAGTCCCAGGGGCCTTGGAGTCATCTTTGTATGAGATCCAGAGCTCCATCCAGAGGACCATCTATCATGATGCATGACTGCATGATAGACACTATGCCTAGAGTGACCAGAGCTATGTGGAGCCAGCTGGCTGATACTCTAGGCTGGAGCACAGCTGCGGAGGCCAATGAGGGATGGAGGATGTGCATGAATGATTGGAGGCAATGCAGTCCGGAGGTGGTAATGCTGTTGATGAGGAAGATAGCATAGGTGGTGGAGTCACAGGCTGGTGAGGCCTGGCAGTGGAGACTGGAGGCTGAGTGGAACCTAACACTGCAGGACTTTGCTGCATACACCTCTTTTCCCCCTGGACCTCTGATGGGTTCTGGGTGTTGATTACCTGTTTGACTTAGAGGGGGTGGGTGGGAAAGCTGACCTCACAGGGAGGTCCAGGTGTTTCACAGCTGCAGAGTGCCATGAGCAGAGTGTATTGTTGAGAGTTACGAGGGATGGTACGCTGGACCTGGGATAGAGGAACTGGAGGAGGGTTGCTGGGGGATAGATGGAAGGGTGGAGGGTGTTATTGTTACTATAATGGGTAGAGGTAGATATGGCAGGAATCTGGATGTTTGCTGCACTCGGTGACACTGGGAATGCTGTCTGGCAGTAATTCCAACATCTTGTCCTCAGATATTGGTCTATGGGACCAGGCCAATGTATCCTGGATGGCCCATGGGCTCTGGCTGCTGCTTTTGAATGCCAGGCCAGTGTGTAATAAATCCTGCCCTCAATCATGATTTAATTAATTGTAAGGAAATTAAGCTGCTGATGTGCCAAGAGGCAAAAGGAAAATTTGGTGCTGCAAAGATATCTCTATCTGTATCTCTACCTCTATACATACACACACACACCAAGAGGATGTAAAATGTCAGAATCATGAACCAAAGCAAACTTGATGTTGTTCGAGTAGAATTGTGAAAGCTGAACAGTGATGTACTAGGAATCAGCAAATTGAAATAGACCAGAAAGGGTTACTTCAGATCAACAGTGTCAGATCTTCTACTGCAGGCAAGAGAGCCAAGTGCTTAAAGTGTTGCACTAGGAGCAGGGAGAACCACAGAAGTTCCTGGGGGACTTTGGACCACCCATTCTCTCTCAGCCCAATCTATCTCACAGGATGTTGTTGTGAGGAAAATAGGAGAAAGAGCATATATATGCCACCTGAGCTGTTGGGTATAAATCAAATAACAGATAGACAGACAGATAGACAGAATGAAGGAATAAATGGAGTAGCCATCATTATTAACAAAAGGACATCAAAGTCAGTGCTACAACCCTTAGAATGACCTCATTCTGAGTCCAAGTCAAGCCAATCAATGTTAGAGTGATCCAAGTTTATGCTGCAAACACTGATGCAGAGGAAGTGGAAGCTGAACATTTCTAGGGCAACTTACCACATTTGACACAATATCAGACAATAAATGCCATGCTAATTATAGGAGACTGGAATGCTAAAGTTGGAATTAAATTAAATTAGGATGTGGAGGAAAGGGAAAATTTGACCTTGATATTGAAATTTAAGTGAGATACAGACTAATAGAGTTCTGACAAGAAAAGTAAATGTTTATATAGCAAATATATTCTTCCAAAAAACTAAAAGATGGTACACATGGCTGGACATAGCAAGGTCAAATTCATAACAAGCAAAGAAATGAAAAAAACTCTATTCAATCAGCAAAAACAAGACCTGGTTTTGACTGTGGCTCAGATCAGACACTTCTTTTTGCAAAATTACAGCTTAATGGATTGATTGTGATAGATTGCTGAAAAACTCTGGCCTGAAATTTTTGACATAATTAAAGCTGAAACAAGCAAATGCAAAAAGCAAAATAAAACCAATGGCTGTCTGCTGTTACAATGAAAATAGCTGAAGAAGGGTGGAAAGCCTTATATAAAGATGTGATAAGAGATCTAAACCATCCAGCTGGTTTGATCGGCATATGGTCTACTTTCCACAGGCTGTGAAGCTAAGCAGGGTCAGACCTGGTTAGTATTTGGATGGGAAACCACCAGAGAAACTTATTATAGCACTCTCAGAGAAACTAGTAAATCATAAAACTTCCCAGAAGAAGGCAGTGACAAATCACTTCCATATTGTTGCCAATGTAATCATGAAGTCACCAAGAGCCAGCCTTGACTTGAAGAAGACTTTACTTACTATACAAATATAACTAGGATGGTAAAGTAATTATTTATTGTAGGAAAGGTCCACACAGCCTTTCACAGCATTTCTGCTCTTCTCTTTCATGTGAAGTGCTGCACTCGTGCTGGAATATGAACTTGACTCCATACCATCCCTAGGACTTTCAGGTAATGGAATACATGAATTACATGTATTACATGACACATGATCTGGGCCTTCTCAGAAATATCCATTTAGATGCATGCCCTATTTGACCAATTGTGAAACAGTGTTCTTATTTGCACAATTTTGCTCCTTTAGAAGAAAAAACCAGGCTATGCAAAGGGACTTAGGTTCATATATCATACCATTTATAGAACAGAAAGGTACTCCTAAATCAGGCCAGAAATTTCAATCTTTGAGTGACACGATGTGGCCTTCCAGACCCCCTTTGTGGTCCAGAGCATATCGGGATTACACTACTGAAATTTGGCAGCAAATTGCCAAACCTCAGTAGTACCATTTTCTGCTGATTTCTGGTAGGAAAACTAACTGTGCTATTCCTTTGGGAGGACACAGTTTATTTTAAAGGCCAAAAATACCCCTTTGCCAAAGTAACAGACATCCCAACTGATCTACCATCTTTTTTCATGATGTCACAAGTCACTGTGGGCTCTGGCTTCCCAAAATATAAGGAAAAAAATTGCAAACGCTTGACAGAATAAACATTTCCTTGCCTCTCTCTAAATCCCCTGATCTGAAGGTGCCAAGCAAACAAAGATAACCATACCCCTATTTGCAATTGGGACTGCACCTTTTCCACCTTGTACTTGTTCAAAATATCTTGCACAGTTATACTATGAGAAATTCATGTAGCATATGTATTGGGCCCAAATGTTCAAAAGGTAAGCAAGTTTCAAGATGACATCCAAAACTTCTGGCATATCACTGGGCAATCATATCCAGAAATAATCTGAAGAGAGATACGTCTTTGTGTCCAGCCTAGTATCACACCATGCGCAGTTGATCATTCTGTATAGGTGAGGCTTCAAAGGATGTTGGGAACAAGGAAACATAAGCAAGTCTCGGCGTCTCTGTGTTCCCAACAACTCTGAGGTCCTTTGCACACTGAGCATGAAGATCTGCAGGCGGTTGGTTAGTAAGTATGATTAGATGAATACTTTGAACCAACCTTGGTACGACTGGAAATGCTGATGAGACAGAGATTCTGAGAGCAGGGAAGTTTGCAAGTGTGGAGGACTAATGTTAAACAGGTCTCATTGTTTATGCATCAATGCCATGATATTTTGAATTAAATCTTAATTTACTGAACCTAAAGCAGAACTAGGGCAGATTTTTAAATAAATTAACGCATACATATGTGTACACAGAGAGACACATGCATACCATGCCTCATTGAAAGAAACACACCCTCATGCTTCATGACTTTGGGGGGGGGGGCGGGCGTTGAAAACAGCCCAGTTCATGAGTTCACAATAGTAAAATTCACCTTTCAGGATCAACCTAGTATAATTATATATTCATAGTGACAGACAGTTCTGTTTTGTATCATTGCACTGCCTGAAAAGGAAGGGCAAAATGTCTGAAATTCCAGCACAATTGATAAGAGATACTATTTCTGGCTACAATTAGTGCAGTTTATTGCACTTGCCTATATCACTCTTGCGTGTGTGTGTGTGTGTGTGTGTGTGAATGTTTAGGCTGAAAGACCTGCCAAGGGACTTCGATAGTTACTAATGATTTTGTTTTCCTTTGGGACTGAGTATCTATTGTCTACATACCACAAAAATTTTATTTCTTGTATTATTATTTCGCTTTCAAGTGGAAAGCACACATGCTGGGGAGGAAAGAGAACTTTCCACTGTTCACTCCTGAGACTTATGAAACAGGAGTACAAAAATAAAACCTTCAGCTCTTTTGGAAGCTGGGAATAGACATCAACTATTATTTGCTTATCCATATTACCAGAATTATAACTCAGAGTTCTTATGCCTCTGTTTATTAGCTGCTCTTCATCTTGTCTTCTTTTCCCTGATTTTACACGTACAGCAATGAAGGTTACAAGCAGTGGGTGAGAATGATCTGAATCTAAATACAATTTCTATCTGTACAGATTTTTATACATGCCCCAGTTCTTGATGATACCTACATTTTATGTCCCTGTCATGAATTAGGGAGGTTAGCTTGCAAGAGTTTTTGACATGGGCTTAGCAGTTTTGTCCTTTCAGACTAGCACAAATGACTGGGTTTACTGGAAATCAGTGCATCATCCTTACCCTTCTTCTATCCGGACCCAGAGGTCATTGAATTGTCTTTGGCGATGGATTTTAAATTGTTTCTTGTGCCATTTTTTCTGACGTCCAAATTCTTCTAGCTGGCTGATGCTGTCTGGTAATAGAAGGTGTGGAGGAAGGCTATCTTCCTCACTGGCATGAGGAGGTGCTGAAGACGAAGACAGTTGTATGTGCTCAATGACAACAGGGACAACTGTTGCAGAGGAGCCCTTGGAGGGGTGATATCTGCTTGCCTTGGAACTGCAAAAAAACAAGTTCATCAAGAAGTGATGTGTGAAATAGGACAGGAAAATGCAGGTGTTAAACACAACTACTGCCTCTCTTAAACTTTGAATTAATACACATCAGTGTTGAATATAGGTACAGTAAGGAGGACAGTACACAGTATAAGTGTCTCTGATGCAATAAAACTATGAGGTCAAAGTTTAAGAGACCACAAAACAGGCAGTACATCCATCTAAAGCAGTGTTGTCCAAACTTGGCCACTTTAAGATGAGTGGACTTCAACTCCCAG